TATATGGTGATTATTAAAACTCAAAACAGAAGGCCAAACAATATACAGAAAACTTCACCGCAAAGTTACAGAACTCAAATCAAAATTCTTCCTTTTTCTGGGTTAGCTTAATCGGGCTCTGAACAACCCAGCCCGGGAGCTACGCTTTTAGGCCGGCCTAAATCTATATATTAGCTCCGGGTATTTAAAACACGTGTCAGTCTATCAGACGTATAACAGACCTTTCCTGCATTCCAACAAACAAACACTGACGCCGAGTCGAGGTCAGGGTGGACATAAATACAGCAAATGTATGAAAATGTCCACCCCAACCTCGCTTTGGTATTATTGTTCGAAAGCACGAAGTGGAATGCGGGAAGGTCTTTTATACGTCAAAATGAACTAAACTTCTCGTTGAGTTCAAGATTACTGGTTGTGTGTTATTAAAACACGTCTCAGACTTATAATTATACGTCAAAATGAATTAAACATCTCGTTGAGTTCAAGATTACCGGCTGTGTGTTATTAAAACATGTCTCAGACGTATAATTATACGTCAAAATGAATTAAACATCCCGTTGAGTTCAAGATTACTGACTGCGAGTTATTGAAACACGTCTCAGACGTATAATTATACGTCAAAATGAATCAAACATTTCGTTGAGTTCAAGATTACTGACTGCGCGAGTTATTGAAACACGTTTCAGACGAGTAATTATACGTCAAAATGAATTAAACATCGCTTTGAGTTCAAGATTACTAGCTGCGAGTTATTAAAACTCGTTGAGTTAAAGATTACCAGTTGCAAGTTATTAAAATACGTCTCAAGCGTATAATTATGCGCCGAAAAATGGCATACTCAGGCGAACTTAAAAGACAGGCGTATAGAGTGTTTTCACAAGACCTCACGGCAGCCATATTGATGTCCCAAACCAACCCTGCGGGAGTTGAACCTTCCTCTTATGTAATCACTTACTCTTGTTCCAATAAATTTGCATGACTGTTTGCAACAGGGGTGAAAACGCTCTGTTAGTCGTGGTAGGCGAATCTCAATGGATCAAAAAAAAAAAAAGAACAGAAGAAAATATATTGCTTTGGTCAAACTGCAACAAAATTATTCGAGAAATAAAACGATAAACCCTCTTTTGTTGATTGTAATTGATTGGAAAAAGAAATTTATAGCAAAAAAAAAAAAAAAAAACTCGAAAGAACAGACGAATTTATATTTTTGTGGTAAAACTAGCAACAACAATTACATTATGAACCTACAGTAGTTTACGACCTTGAGTCCTCCATAGCTCAGTGGTTAGAGCGTCCTACCGGTATTCTGCAAAGTCATGGGCTCGACTCCCGTTGGGGAACTCCCTTTTTGAACTCAGAAAATTTATTTTCTGAGTAATTCGACTGGAGAATGTTTCTTCATTTACTTCACTTTATCCAAGTCACCATTTCACTTAACATTATTCGAATTGATTTTGCACAGCCAATAGAAAATTTGCCCTTTTTGCATTTACCTTTGATACATATGTCCATGATCATCGTGTTTAAAGACATGTCGTGTCATGTCATGTTATGTCGGAGACGTCGTACTAGATAAACACACACATGCTAAGAGTATTATTTCAAAAGAAAAATTCCCATTTGATTTCAAAAGAGCGGTTGGAGGTCTATACTAGATTAGTTGATATGGTTATCCCGGAAGGAAACTGAAAAGATTCTGTTACCCGAAGAAAATGAACTTGCACGGAGAGTCCGTTCTGTGATTTAGTTATAGAAGCAATGCGCGCTCATATATAGCTTAAAGGGGCTCAGTCACGGTATTTTGAGTTATTTTGGCCACATACAAAATTACCTTTAAATGGCAAGAAACCTGAAAATAACAGTGTAATAAGATAGAAAAACACCAAAGAGACAATGATAAACCATAAAGGAACAAGGATGGCAAAGGATGGAGAAGGTTAACACGGATTACAAACAACGAATTTGAAAAATTAATGCTAAAGTTTTCAATATGCGCAAACCGTGACTAAGCTCCTTTAATAAAAATGTTTGTCGTATTAAATAAGAGATCCTAAAAGGCTTTTGCAGTTGTATTTAGTTTTATTGCTTTGTAACTCTCTCCTGCTTATTGCCTTCCAGCTCGGTCTAGTTTCGTGCTGAATATTTAATGATTTAATATTATATAACCTAAAAAAAAACTGTCAAGTCATAACGAGAAGATATCTTCGCAGTGAATCAATTATTACATGTAAAACACTTTTGCCAAACCATGCAAGAGCTTAAAAATGCACTGACAAATTTGTCATTCCCAGTACCCGAAAATAAAATTCTCATTATGTTGTGGATCGAGAAAAATTTCATGACCAGCCGTCAACTGATTTAGCCAGGTTTGCTTAAACGTGAGATGTTACTGCTGTGTCATCATTGTTAATTATTGCATAAACCCGTTTGAAGCAGCTCAATTTGCAAGTAGTTATTTATACATATCAGCACGTGCGTTCCCGTTATCAGTTTTATGGATTAAAAGACGATATCGCCAAACCACGGTAACAAAATTAACACAAAATTATTGGTTTCGAGTATGAGAAATTATAATCATAAGAAAGTGAAACAGCAGTTGAAGCAAGGTGTGGGTTCTGACTGAAAGTGAGAATTTTTTTTTAAGGGCAACACTATTTATTTATGGCTGAATCAATAACTTCACAATTTCTCAAGGACTTCCTGTCATTTTTACCATATCCGTCAAACTTTGACAACTAGCAATCACTCGGAAATCTGTTTCTCTTGATTTTAAGCGTAGGCGTAGAATATGTACTCTTGTATTGTTTTCCAGGGTTGTTTGAATGCATAGCTGCCGGTGTTTCATTTTTCTCCCTCTAGTTATTATTGGAAATTATTTTACATATGATTTCGTCTATGTAGGTAACAGAATCACGGAAAGAGAATTCCCAGTGTAATATTTACTTTTTGCCTTTCTTATCTTTCAATCTTTCATTAAAACTATTTCACAGTGCTTTTTGTGCTTAAATGCTCATTTTTTAACAGGGCGAGCAATTCTCGCTTAGAAGTGATTTGTAGAACCTTAAGGCCATGACGCATTCTTTCCATTATGTCACGTTCAACAAAATTGATTGGTTTAGTTATAAAAACGTTTGACTCATTTAAATACTGAATGAGCGTGCTTGAAAAGGTTAACTGAAAAAACTCCATCTTGAAATATTGTACAACATCATTTTAAGTTCTCTTAGTTTAGGTTTTGAGCTGGAAGTATCGCGAGACCGAGGTAATGTTTGGTTTTTTACTTATTACGTTTGCTATTCGAAGTAAACACTTAATCCTAAAAATAGTCAGTTTATTTAACGCATCTTAGAAAATTTTCGAAACACTGTGCGTCACAGAAAAGAAACTACTTCAAGAGACAATAACATGCAAAAGAATTGGTAAATGATCATCAATTTTACTCTTGAAGTTCTAAGTAATGGAGTCTTCACTATTTATGCTATTTGCTGGGAATAGCAGGTCGAAATCATATCCGGGCCTTTTCATTAACATTCCATTTCCGTCCAAGTGAAATGGTAAATAAATTTTCAGGGACATTATTTGCGCCGTAAAAAAGTTAGTGACAGCGGCAATTTGACGCCAATTGAGATAATGACAGCTGCAACTGACCGTTTCGGCTCTTTAGCCCTCGTACATGGCTTGGTTTTAAATCCAGCCCTGACACATATTTCTTTCTAAGTTTGCTGTGTTAAAACCACGAGGCGTGGTCAGAAAGTAAAGCGACTTACAGGGAGGTTCGAAACTGAATTGTGACAAATTGTAAAGCGTCGTCTCATCAAGTTATACTAACGAACTGAGAACTGTGTTTGAACAGCTGCCAGTGTGCTTTCGTATCACTAGAAGGCGATCTTTAACTTTTTTTAGCTTGGCACGTTCAAAGCGAATTCAATTTAAAACAGCAGTTGTTGTTGGAAACCTCAATGAAGAAAAAGAAAAGATCTCGCGACTTCACACCAATCGCATTAGAACTTCGGTAAACGCTGATAGATTGCAATTAAGGGGTTTGACAATCATCAGTTAGTTGAGGAGCGAGAACTAATTTACTTTTTCGGAGTTTCGTGGCCTGTAGCATTGGACTGGTTTCGACATCCGGCGAGAGAGTTGTCAGAAAATGGCTGTCGTTGCGAATTCGTGTCAAGGGGTGCCCGCGCCCACAGCTCTCTCGTTTATAACAGCATCTCTATCTTTATTTCTCGCCATTATCACTGTCCCTGGAAATTTCTTGGTCTGCCTTGCTGTGTTCAAAGACCCGTACAAACGCCTCAGGTCGCCGTTTACTTTCTTTGTAGTAAGTCTTGCCGTTTCTGATCTGATCGTCGGCATGGTGACGGAACCCATTTCGGTTTGGCTTCACTTTCGCGAGGGATTTTCCCTGGAGATCAATCACATTTGGTTGATTCACATGTCGTACTTTATCTCTTGTACCGCCTCCGTGTTGAATCTGGCTGCTTTGACTGCAGATCGCTTTACAGCGATAACCTATCCTCTTCAATACAGGGCAAGGTTTGGCACCAAGCGAGCGGCAGTAATCGCGGCTCTTATTTGGTTCCTGTCGTGCAGTTTGCCGTTTGTTTACCTGGAGGTCGGATATTTGCTGTACGCGTTTGTATTTGCAAACACTGCCATCGCGTTGACCTTTATCATATTCCTCGTTACTTATGTTGGGTTTTTGCGTAGTATGAGAGCCCAGGTGTCGGAGTTGGAAATGGTGCGAGATAGCTCACAAACTGAAGAAAATCGAGCGAGAAGACGAACTGCTGCTAACGAGAGGAATGTCACCAAGGCATTCATGTTGATGCTAGGCTTGTTTCTGTGTTGCTACACTCCGTCTTGTGTCATGATATACGTTATGAACCTGTGCTCGTCCTGCAGTTGTTATGCAATCCACATTCTTCGAGATCTTCAGTTCCTCTTCGTGTTGGGTTCCTCGGCGCTAAATCCATTTCTTTACGCCTGGCGTTTACCTAACTTTCGAAAGGCGTTTGTTAGGATTTTGCGTTGGCGAAAAGTAAACGAGGAAACTGCACCTGCTAACACGCTAGAGAGCGCGGGGAGAGTACCCGGCACGGTCGATAGATCACCTTGAATGCATGCGAGGACACTGAACTGGCTATTTGTTATATACAGTGGAATCCCAATTTCTCAAACTTCCAAGGAGAACGAAAATTGATCAAGTATATCGGAAGTCCAAGATATGGGTGTAAAACTACAGAGAAATAAATCATAGTTAATGAATAAATCTAACGACCTTTGGTTCGAGTTATGCCGCGGAGGTTCTAAAAATCAGGATTCCTCTGTACTCGGCATCTTCCGAAAAAAAAAAGAAGAAGAAACAGAAACAATAGTAGCGATAAAAAGAAATCTTTTTACTAGTGAATGTCAACGAAAGGGGAGGGCGAGTTCAGACATTGCCTTCCAGCTTCCAGTTTTCCTTACTCCCTTAGGGCTTAGGAGCGCTTTAATTTACTGATTTATTGCTTCTTTAATTGGTATTCTGAGAATTAGCTGAGGGAAATTTCATTTACTGACATATGATACGGGGAGGATTCCTTTCCACAATCGCTAGGATTTTCTCGTCATCTGTGTATGATTGCTGTATAAACGCGCAGCTTTGTATCATGTTTAGAAACTCTGAAGAAATGTGCAGAAAGAAAAGAAAAAATGTCATTCTGAAAATTCATTTATCCTTGCAGTCAAGTAGACAGGTGATTAGAGTTTAACGAAAATCGTTTAAGAGTCATTATCAGACGACGAAGTTAATTCAGAAGACCATTTATGAAAACCGACCAATCAGATTGCTCTGTAGCCCGTCTATATTTTTCAAGTATTGGACCAGGCACTCTGCCGAAGGTCTTGTAATTTTTATGGCTTTCTTCTCACCAGGAGATATCTTGCACATTAAAGGTTCTTTTGTTTCTTTTGTGTTAATCCAACTTCAGTTCTTTTCCTGCTTTTTGAAAACGTCAAATTGGAGTAAACTCTAAGACGGTTATTAATCAGAATTACGCGCATGAAGATTATATTTTCTTTCCAGCCTGTGATCGTGGGATTTTTTTCTTAGCAGTTCAGGCGTGTAACAGATCATCTCAGTTTTGATAACCAAGTACCACATAAAAGGTTCTTTTGTTTTTTTTTAATCCAAGTTTCTTTTCCTTCTTTTTTGAAAACGTCAAATTGGAGTAAACTCTAAAACGGCTTTTAAAAGATTATATTGTCTCTGCAGCCTGTGATCATGGGATTTTTTTCTTAACAGTTCAGGCGTGTAATAGGTCATATTTTGATAACCAAGGATAATCAGGGCCTTGCTGGGAAAGTATAAGCCCTTGGTCTTTTTTGTTTGTATTATCAATACCTCGGTCTCATATTTTCCATCTACGGCCTTGGTGCTTGGTTTATATGCATTGTCCTGTTGTACCACAAAATTTTCAAAACTAACATTACAGGGATTGTATATAGATTAACCAGGAGAATTGGCAGAAAAATACGTTTTAGATGTCTTGTAAGCAAATAAGTATTAGCCTTAGTATAGTTTAAATCTGTCAGTGTTTCTTGAAATGGTTTTAAACTCCTTGAAATAAACGTTTTGTGTTTTGCTGTCATGTTTGAGTGTTGAGTTTTGTATAGAGTCATCTTCATTTGGAAAGTAGAATTTACATCTAGATATTTAGTTGCGTCTGCACATGTATGTTCATTTTATAAAACGCGCTTGTCAGCTATGAACAACTTGAAGACTGAGGTGTTCGTTTAGGAAATTAGGGACCTTTAGATCATAGTAGGAGTAAGAGATTGTGTACGAACGGCGACTTTTTATGCTTTCCATTATCACGTTTCACGCCAGTGTCTCGCGGATAGTGTCATATTCAACTGGCCAGTAACGGGGAGGAGCGAGGGCACTGGGAACGTAACTATACTGCAATATGAAAGTCGTATTCATGTAGTCATAGTTAATAGAGTACATGTAC